TATTTTTATAAAAATGTTCAAATAGTCTCTGAAATTAATTTTGTGAAGTATCTTTTAATTGAAAAAAACTGTTTTTTTTTAATTTTTTAACTATATTTTCGGATTTAGGTCTTAAAAAATTTGGTAATTCTAAGAAATTAGTTAACTAAAAATATTAACAAAACGTAATATTTCGAAAACAAAAATATTTTTTAAATTTTTACTTAAATTTTATTGCGAATATTACTTTTTGAGATCTATTTTGTTATGCTTTAAAAAGTTTTTTTGTTAATATTTCTTGGGGTTTTGAGGCTAAAATTTGTATTTGTATCTGTATTGTCTGCTTTGATAATCAGTAAATGAAAAACTTTAATTTTTATAGTTAAGGAAAAAATTTTGGAATTTCATTTCAAATTTTTATTCATTTGTATTTCAAATTTTAACCAAAAAACAAAACCGACTTCAAATCTCATATACAAATTTAAGGTTACCGTAATGTTGTTTATGTTCTAAATCTCTTCGGATCCAAATTAAATTAGTATGGGACCAGCTCTGGGGTACCACCTTTCCTCTAAAAAAATATATTTATGTATATAAATCGGATAACGTGGTCCAAAAGAAAAATATTCCGACGAATTATTAACCTCCTCCTTTTTTGAAGTCAGTCGAAAAGCCAAACTCTTCTAATTTTTTTAGAGTTTTTCTAAATAATTGTTTGCATATTTAAAATTTTTTTCTCTAAATTTTAAGTTTTATTAGGGTTGTTTTTTCAAAAAAAATTTGACGTTTTTTTTTTAAATTACCTTTTATTTATTTTTTACTTTTGAATTATTACTAAGAGTTTTATTTTTATTGTTGAGGTTGGTTGCTTATTTTTTCGTTATAAGAAAATTTGTGAATTACTATTAATTGATTTATTTAAGCCATTTTTTGTTAAAGTTTTGTTTTTTGTTTTGGCTGTTTTTTAATGTTACGCACGCTTGCCGCAGTATTCGAATTTGAAGTGAATTTTCTCGTGTATGCAATTTTTTTTCGTGCATCTTTTAATTGTTTCTAAATTTGTGTGTGGATTTCTTATACGTTCTTTTATCGTATTTCTTTTATTGCGATCACTTTCATTACTATATACTCTGGGTAAAAAAAAAACAATATTCTACTACCAAGTACCAAGCACATTCCTTTAATTCTTACTCACCTCAGATTCTTGCCATTGTTACTCTTTCAGCAATAAATAATTTTTTGAATTTTCAATAGCTATTTTTCCCTTGAAGCGCTATCACTGAATCACCAACGCTCGCAATCAATGCGCGCCACTTGTCAGCTACTCACAATTATCTGGCCATTTAAATTTAACTTTGTTGGTTGACAAGTGCCGCGTTGACTCATCCCTTACGCAAACCCTTTGCAGTTGAAAAGCTTTAAAAAGCAAAAAAAAACCTTAAAATACTAATTACGAAAGCGAGAAATTATATTTTTTTTAATCTGTGCATTTTTGCCTTTACTCTATTACCAGCGCGCCGTTGACTTTTGCTACGCGATTTACGCGCTTTTTAAAATCATTTCAATTTCACAATTTCTGGCATCTCCCTCTCTCCCCTTCGCCCGCTGCTCTTCAATTCAATTTATGTAAACCGCAAGCCACAATAATTATCACAAACATTTCGCATGCAATTATTTGTCACCCGTCGCCTTTTGCGCTGAAAGACATCTCAAATGCTTTGCCTAATGCCGCTGTTGGCGAAGAACAGGGCGCAAAAAGGGTTACAGCGTTGCCACAACAACTCTTTTCCCCAGCGCCGACAACAGCTACAGCTTCACTCACTGCCTTATCGTCATCAATATCAAGCTCATTATCACTAATAACATCATCAACATTAATCCTGACTAGCTGCCTGGCCTGGCTGTGTGCTGCTGCTGCCAGTACTTCTAAGTGCGTGCTGGTGTTTTTAAAAACCACCCTAAAATAGTATCATTGCTCTCCCTTCCCGTGATCCAACGCACTACTAATGAATTTGTTCAAACTTGCGTACTTATGTGTGTTCATTAGGGTGCCTTACCAAAAAAAGAAAAATTGCGGTTTTCCACCGGTCTATAAAATTTATTATATTTTACACACAAGAGAATTAATATATTCGACGCTAGGATTTTTTTAAATCAATTGAGATTTAAAAAATATGATTATTTCAAAAAATTATGTAAGAAATTCAGTGCAATGTAGGTTAACAATAAGGGTATCATATAAAAGAAAAAATTCTTTAGAATTATAACAAAATAAGGACGAAAGGGTATGGAAAACGCCTTTTACGAATTTTATCCTTAAATATCTTTGAAAATTTCAAATATTTATTTTTGAAAAAATTATTGTTTATCAACGAATTTCGTCCTGCAATCTTTATTAATTTAAAAAGATAAAAATTGTTAAGAGCGCATTTTCAATACCTTTTCATGCTTGTAAACCAAAAGAATTTTTTGTTTTTAAATTTTGCAAAATTTTCTCTCTCATTTGGTATCCATATTGTTTTTATACATCGCACTGATTTTTTAAAATTATTTTTTTAATTAATCATATCTTTAAAATTTCAAAGTTCTTTGAATAAAAATCCTGACGTCAGAGTGAAAAAAACGCAGTTTTACTATATTTGGCCCATCGTTTTCTGAGTATAGCGATTCTTTCGTGTGTTTTGAATTTTCTTTTTTGTTTTGTCACACGGTATATTCGCCCCTATTATGGTTGTCGACTTCGACTTCGACGTCGATGTAATTTTTTCCTCAAAATAGAGCCATCGTGAGTCCAACTACAGTTTCGCAAAGTATTTTACCAGAAAGGTGTTCCCCTCAGAAATACTGTGGTCTGCGTAGCTGAAGTTGGACTACCGAGGGCTATATTTTTATGAAAAAATTACATCGACGTCGAGGTCAACAACCATAATAGGGCCGACTAGGATTTACGTGAGCTAGACCGATTTGAAAATACCTCCAAAATCCTCATTATTTGGATTCAGTTTATACATTTTTATGCAGACCTTTGAAGCCTAGTTGATATTTGAATAAATATTTTAGAAAACTAATTTCTTTTCAAAAACTGGATTTTTGGAGGCATTTTCGAATTACGTACATATATATTTTTCCGAAATATTTTGACGAAGATCCTAAAATAAAGTAAATTTTATTTTTATGTTTTTTTTTTAGGGAGGGTGGTGCAGCCTAATGTACATGTATCATAAAGCGTTGATGCATTTATACATTTGTTATTTCATTCAAATTGCCCTTATTGTTCGCATTTGTAACGTTTATCCCTGATTACTAATGTCTTTAATGTTTTTATTTGTGGCACACACACACACACGCACTGGTATTCGAACGCATATTCGTAAGGCCTGTTATTTTGATTGTCGCGGCATGTTGCCTGCATTCCCATTCCTTTCTATGTACTCGCAGTCCGATTTGTTTTGTTGTCCAACAATCCAAACAAAAAACAGCAAAGAGACTTCCCTGAAGTGCTATTGATATAAGTGAATCAAAACAAAAGAGTACACAAAAAAATTAGAAAAGAAATCAAAGTCTACTCTTTCATTTGTAGCTTTGTCAAAAGCCTCCAACCCTTTCTACGCGCGCAGTTAGCAAAATTCGTCATAAGTGTAACGCCATCAACAACTTTCGCCGCCGTTAACCCTTTTTCCACCGAACATTTTTCGATTCTCACACTCTAACTCACTCCAGCCGGGTATTTATTTGAACAACCTAGCAGCGCCCCCACCTCGTTGCTCTGAATTCTGTTGCGAATTCCACGTACTGGTGTCACTGACTTCTAAGCTGCTGCGGTGGTGGGAGAGCTTAAGTGTTTCAGTAGCATTTGATCGCTCTTAAAGGATTATGTTTGATTTGTTGTTGGACCAGCTAATTACTGGAAAAAGTGCGCTATGAGATATAGGCTGGTAAAGAACTGGGCTAAAAAATGCAAAGAGCTTCTCGTCGGCGCTGGTTTCTCTACTATTCCTTTGAATGTTTGGCTGAACTGTATTCAACTATTATCTACGATTTTGTGCGCTTCATTAGGGCTACAAATCGCGTTTACTTCTAAAGTATGAGAAGGAACGTAAGGAGTCTCTGGTATGGCTATACAATGGGCCCACAGTGACCTAAGTGTGCCCTTCTCCTGTGCTGGATGTGGACAGCCAAGATAGCCTAACCTATTCTAAAGTTGATCTTCTACCTACAAAATTTTAAAGAAATCTTGAAATTTAACTCGGAAAAACTTGAAGAAGAAGTGGTGCAAAGCAAAAAAACTCGAAGACAGAAATTTTATTTCTTTCCTCCAATGTTTAATGAGAGCCATAAAGGAATATCCGATGCTCAGTGGTCTAAGAAACAAGTCGATTCTAGCTTTGTGTTACCAGAAGCTTAGAACTTATTGTGTTTTTTCGGTTTCAAAAAGGTATTGAAAAAAATTCCAAACCATAGGGTGATCTCAAAGAAATCTTTTCCGAACCAAGCAGATAAAACCTCGGATGTCTCGAATTGGATAGCTAACGATTCCAAAGCAGAATTTACTAAATCCGATCAAGCAATTAAAAACTCAGTAGTTCTTAAAAATCTAACTATTTCATGCTGGGTTTCGGAGAGATTTTAAAGAAACTTAGTTATATTGGGAATAGAATAAAAAGGAATGAAAGTAAAGAAGTGTTTGAGGAATGCACTAGTAGTATCTGCTTAGGCGATCCAAATAGAAAATTCTATTCCTGGTCCAAGTTCTTTCAGGGTCAAGATAATTTACATTTATTTGTGCCCTAGACCACAAGATAAGCCACTTATCGAATTATCGGTCACACGGCTTTTAGCTTTGTTAATGAAAATGGTTCTATTAAACTTACTTTCGATATTTTCTCGATCTGCCCCCGAGCTGTGTACTTCTCTCAGATTTTTTTGTAGTTTTATATATTTATCTAACTTATAAGTATTACATTTCCGATTCCCACTTCCACCTGGATATTCTAATTAGTCCTTTGTATTCCTTCCAACTGTTGTTACAGGCAGGCGCTCATGTCGAATCGCGGGTCCGATTCGGACAAACTAAATCCAACACATGTTAGCAGCTCACGTGCGCCGCTGCATTTGGGCCATACCGGGCGACCACCGCATCATCTGCATTCGCATGCGGCGCTACACGACAATCAGGCGGACGACGAGGATAAGCTATTGGACGTGGTCGGACCGCCGCAGAGTCCACTATTGCCTTTGAGTCATTCGTTGCAGCAGATGCATGCGCATCAGCAATCCGGTAGGTCTAATGAAAGTTTATTGCACACATTTGAAGTGGTGCAAGGGAGCGAGTTGAGTAAAGCTTAGCCTCCCTTGCGTACACTCATTCACAACAACATTTTTTTGAGTTTGTAGCGCCTGCAAGCTGGACTGCATGCCCATGTCCAACACATTGCACGCTTCAGCTCACCCATTTTTTATTCTGATTTTCACATTGTTTTCGTTTTTTATTCTATTCCACTTTTCTAACCAATTTAAAGCCCTTGCAGCCTGGTTCAACCACTTGGCCGGTGCCGGCGATCATGCGAACGAAGAAGCTCTACGTCGTCGCCTACAATCGGACGATATCGAACGTGATGGCAGCGATTCCAGCTGTTCGGAGAGTGTGGGCGGCAGCACGGGTGGCGCCTTTCGACCCACCTCCTCGGGCAGTCCGAAAGAGAGTGCCGCTGGCGGCTTGAATGCTGCTGGCGCCTACCCATCACCGAACATCTCAGTGGGCCCACCGATACACCCGTCGCCGCACTTATTGCCTTACCTCTATCCGCATGGCCTCTACCCGCCACCACATCTTGGACTGCTGCATAATCCGGCAGCTGCGGCGGCCGCCATGAATCCGGCCAGCCTCAATCCGGGCTTGCTGTTCAATGCGCAACTGGCGCTCGCCGCTCAACATCCCGCCTTATTTGGACACTACTCAGGACACACGCCCGTCTCGCCGCTGCAGGGACTCAAGGGACATCGCTTTTCACCGTACAGCCTACCTGGCAGTTTGGGTTCTGCATTCGATGCTGTTACGCCTGGTTCGAATGCGAATCGTGGCGGACCGCCGGGTGCGGGTGATGCCTCAGCGCTGGGGCCTGGCAGCAGCGGACCCGGTAGTAGTGTAGAAAATGGACCACGCAGTCTAAGCTCCAGTCCACGACCACGTGCCTCATCCAATTCGCCACCAACGCGACCCATTTCCATGTCGCCGACGACGCCACCATCGCTGTTGAAGCGTCAAAATTCACCCTCAGAGCTGAAGAGTATCGAGAAAATGGTCAATGGACTGGAAGTGCAACACAATGGTAGCGGTGGTGGTGCTGGCGTGGGCATGGGCATTGGCATCGGTGCGCTGGTGAGTGGCGCCTTGGAGGAGCTGCAACGCAAGACGCCAACACAAGTGGATCAGTGACATTTGTTTGATCGAGACGATAACGACCGTTCGTCCGTCATCGATCTCGACGATGTGTGACCGCAAGAGCAGGTTTTCCTGTTACTTTAGTGGGCCTGCTGCACTGGTGGAGCCTATGCGGTGATTAACGCGGCGATGAAGAAGATAAGAAATATGGGCAGCTATTACGTATGCTAATTGCTTATGGTGTAACACAGCTACGAACTACTAGCACTGCTGGAGACAGACAGAGCATGGCTCAACGCCAGCGCACATTGTCTTGTCGTGTATATACAAAAAAGTACACAGCTAGTTTAAGTAGTATGTTAAATATGCTTAAATGGATTTTTTAATGTTTTGAAAGCAAAAAAAATCTATGCTCCACGCATGATCCACGTGAATTATTAGGATTTTTTTTTAACAAAATTGTGGCAGCAATGCTAGTACAAATGCGCCGTTTTATAACCAAACTCAGCTTTAGTGAAAAATCGGCATTTGAATTTAGGTTTCAAAAAAATATGAAAGAATGTTTTCAAAAACTAAGCTTGCAATTTTTCAAGTAACGTTTAAAAACAACCGCTTTAACTTTTGGAGTGAAAAATGCGCTTATTTCGCATAAGTTCCAAATGCGATCCACTTGAGTTTGAGACGCGGCAGACCTGTAAATGTTCTTTGTGTTTTTATCGAACATTTTTGTTGAAAAATTGCAAGTTCCACATATAATCCACATACGTTCCACAACTTATTTTAGCGCGTTTCGGCTTTAAATGCTTAGATCTGTTATTTTCTGCCTCATATTTCTTCATCTGGCGTATTTGTCGCTCAAATTTAGCGTTTTATATCTACAAAGTTTGCATTTTTTCGTTCTTCAATTTAAATTTAATTAACTGTGTAAGTTCTCAAACCAAAGAGTTACTTTCGGTGTATAAAAATATGATTTTTATTCTAGCAAAGCCTATAAATACTTGAAATATTAATGCTTTCTTGTACTTTTTACTTGTATGGATTAGTACTTGTAAAAAAAAATATTTGTTATGCTCCAAATTGCGCTGTCAACAACTTCTTTCTCTCAACTGTACCACATACTGTATAAAATAATTATAGAATTAAAAGGCATCTTCACATTTTCTCTACAGCCTCCAATAAATGTACATAACTACATACATATGTACATAAGAGACTTGCCCCCTTAAACAAATGCCTAATAGGTTTAGGAGAGGGCGTGCCGTTGAACATTTCACGCTCAGAGTATTATAATTTAAAATAAGACATTGTATAAATGTACGATATTCTTTGCAAATAAAATAGAATTCATGAAAAGTAGTAGCATGTTGCACGTTTCAATAAAAGCGTGTGTATTATTTTAGTTTAAATTGTTTTTTAAAAATAATTTGTTTTTGTAACAGTTGAATATGTTCCTCACTTACTTATAAAAATGTTATAATTATAATTTTTTTAGTTTAAGTTTATCTAATTAAGTTAAAAAAAAATATTTTTTAAGTGCAGCAAAACAAACTAAAAATATATGAAAAACACAAAAAAAAATAAAAAATGGGAAAGCAATATTAATTATAGTTAATTGATGCACTGAAATTATTAAAAAAAAAATTAAAGTGCACCTTTGATTTCTATTTGCTGTTGAAATTTTGGTGTGCAAGAAAAACTTTTACAAAAAAATAAATAAGCAGACAAATTTTAGTGTTTTGAAATTTGTTTTCATAAAACAATAAATAAAAATATAAAGAAGCATCAAACACTCTGTAAAAAAACATTATATTACAAAAGTAAAGTAAAAAAGTGCAAAAGTGCTGAAAATAAATTTTAAGAAATTCAATAGAAAAAAAATAAAAAAAATTTCGGCTATAGTTTAAATGTGTGTACATATATGAAAATAACCGCCCCTATAAACCATTGAATACAAATACATACATGCATATAAACATTGAATTGCAAGTGTGTATGTATGTATATATTTATATATTCCTATAAAAAATTATGTATACATGCAAATATAAAGTAATGAATTCATCCATTAGTTTAAAAATGTGCATAAAAGTCCCTCGTATTGTTTGCATAAAATATGTAAGACAAAGCAAGTAACAAATGAAAAACCAACAGTGAACTAAATAAAAAAAAAAATCTGTATCTAAATAATTAATACATATATACTAATTTAATTGCATATAAAAACACGTATATAAAAACAATTCACATTAATGTACATAGTTACAATTAAATTTATACATACATGAATATAAATATATATATATATATATAAATGCATATTGATTAGTAATAAAGATACTTCTACATGAAGCATTAATTAATTAAAAACAAAAAATTAAAAAAATAATAATAATTTTATATATGTTCATTTATATGAATGTTGACGGAAAATAGTCAAAACAAAGGTAAGTGATTTATCGGTAGAAGCTTATAGCGGTAAGATTAGCTGACCCTTATTTAAAAACCAACAAAGAACTAGTTAGACACCCTATTCATCCACAATCCACAAATATTTTTACACTTTGTGGAAGTCAACTGTTCAAAAACAACTTTAAATCGCCTAACTTGCAGTACTTACACATTTTCTAGATAAATTCCACACAAATTTTCCGTGAATTGAAAGTGCATTTGTGCAATTTTTATTTTTGTGCATTTAAAATACAAAACTATGCAAAATCCACGCACTATCCACATCGTTTCCAAAATAAATACTAAAACTATACATAGCAGTTGACCAATGACAACAGCATGTTATGAGTAGGTTAGGTTAGGTTAGGTTAGAGTGGCTGTTACCGCACAATAAAAGCACATGTCACGCTTAAGTAAGCTGGAAAACGACCCGCTATGATCAATCGGTAGACTGATTTAAAATTAGCTAAGACTAGTTAGATACCGTCTTCTCCCACAATTAAAAGATATTTTTACACTTTGTAAACGTCCGCTTTACAAAAAAAAACTTAAAAACGCCTAATTAGGGAATTTAAGAATTCTTATCATGGTGGAATACACGAACTTTTCGTGATTTGGAAGTGTATTCATGCTATTTTTGTTTTCGCGTATTTAAGATACAAAACTATGCAAGTTCCACATGCGTTCCATAATAAATTCTATACCTAAAGCAGTTGACCAATGATAATAGCACATTTTAATTATGTTAGATTAGGATAAAGGGGCTACTAACCAGCCCGCTATGAAATGACTGGCGATAGAGCTCTTAATTTCCTTACTTTCTCTAGAAATTGAACCATCGAGGCGGTTTTATATAGCGCAGAAAATTTAGGATATTAGCTGGATCTAAGTCGACTAAGCAAGCTATAAATTACTTGTTAAGGAATTGGTTTCGCGCCTCTTAGCCATGGCGGCAAAAAACCTTAGTTATTTAATCTCTTACCATGTTTGCACATAAAGAAATAAATATATAGGAATAACTATATAGGATACGTACATTGGCAGGCAAAGCGTACTTGAGTAGGTACAAATCTATATCTATACTAATCTATACTAATTATATAAAGAGAAGTCCCTTTTTTTGTAAGAGGTAATCTCGCGAACGGCTAATCCGATTTTCATGAAATTTTTTATACAAATAGCTTTCGGTAACCACCATGTTTTAGGCTAAAAAAATTTTACTTTTTTTCGGGTAGGTGGACCAGGGACCGGTCTATTCGAAAAAATTTTATTATAGTCCGATTTGCTTAAAATTTAGTACGTAAGCAGCTTTTTAGCATATATTAGCATATATGACCCATTTTTTCCGGGAAGTGGTCCAGGGACCGATCTATTCGAAAAAATCGAATTTACGGTCCGATTTGCTTAAAATTCGGTGCGCATATAGCTTTTTAGCATGTATTAGCATATGTGATAAATTTTTTCCGAGAAGTGGACCAGGGACCGATCTATTCCAAAAAATCGCATTTATGGTCCGATTTGCTTAAAATTCCGTACGTAGGTAGTTTTTTAGCATATATTAGGATATATGGTCCATTTTTTCCAAGAAGTGGACCAGGGACTGATCTATTCGAAAATATCGTATTTACGGTCCGATTTGCTTAAAATTCGGTACGTAGGTAGCTTTTTAGCATATATGATCCATTTTGTCCGAGAAGTGGACCAGGGACCGATCTGTTCGAAGAAATCGTATTTATGGTCCGATTTTGCTTAAAATTCGGTACATAGGTAGCTTTTTGCCTGGATAAGCTTATAGATTCCCGTTTTCCAATTTTCATGCAATTTCGAATATAAATAGCATTAAGTAACGACCATATCAAGGGGCAAATTCGTCACTAGGCAAGATTTTTTTGCGCCAATCAGAAACAACGGATACTGTCAAAATATAATTATAATATATAATATATCTCAACTAATTTATATTTAGAAAGCCGTTTGTTAGTTTTCGCAAGGCTCGAGAGCGGCTGAACCGATTTTTTTGAAACTGCCACCTGCCGCACGTGTCCCAAGGATGGTTTTAGGCTGAAAAAAATCTATATGTGAAGGAGGCGTGGCACTTCCCATACAAACCGAATTTCTCATGCTACATATCTCTGAAAGTGTGCGTGGTAGAGTTTTGGAAATTGGTATGGAGATATACGAAATCAATCGCATACCCTTGGAGAAAAATTTTAGCTATAGTAAAAAGGGGTGTGACATCTCGCATACAAACCGAATTTTTCATACTGCTTATCTCTGGAAATTTTTTGGTAGAGTTCTAGAGTTTTGTATGGAGATGTACGAAGTAAATCGCATACTCTTAGAGAAAAATTGGAACTATTGGAAAAGGGGGCGTGGCATCTGCCATACAAACCGAATTTTTCATACTGCCTATCTTCGGAAGTGTTCATGGTAGAGTTCTGGAACTTGGTATGGAGATATACGAAATCAATCGCATACTCATGAAGAAAGAGGGCAGCTGTTGGAAAGGGGGGCGTGGCTCCTCCCCTATAAATCGAATTTTTATACTGCATATCTCTGAAAGTATTCATGGTACAGTACTGGAACATCGTATGGAGATATGTATATAGTTGAAATCAAGCTATGGGCATGGAGAAAATTTGGGCTATTTGAAAAGGGGTGTGAGGCCTACAAACCTACCGACCTTTAGCTATCTTTGAATGAATTTTTTTATTCTTCTGTGGGTGTGTTTGTGAGTGAAATCCTCCTAAATGGTTGTTCGGATTTTAACGAAACTTTTTCTGTATTTGAGTGTGTCTCTGGATGGTTTAGTTTCACAATTTAATCCGACAGTTGGCGCTGTAGTTGAGTTATTACTAAAAATCTTATTTATGATCCGATTTGGCTAATGTTTTAAATATGTATGCAATACTATTGCAAAAACGTGCGGCCAAGTGGTGCTGAAGTCGAGCTATTACTAAAAATAGCCAAGTGAGAAAAGGGGCCGTGAAGGTCAGATTAAATCGACCTGGTGCACCATTGAGTATATCGACGGTCCTGCGTTGCAATTGGCTCAATGGATGTGATTTTCCAATATTATTATGCGTTCAAACTTTTAAGGTATTTCGTCTGAAATAAG